ACCCCTTTATATGCTACTTACAGGAAGCAGAAGTCAATAAAAAGCCTCTATTGTGAGCACACACATTTCTAGTCGACCCCGTCCCTAAAATATTTTAAGCCTTCCTAAAAACACACCGCAAAACATAACTCTCCTTTGGGCTCAGTGCATTGAGCAGAGGCCAAAGCTCACTGAAAAAGTCAGCTCTCTGTCTTTACCAGCTGCACATGCTGCTTACTTTAAGTCAGTGATAGAATATCAAACTGAGCAGGACAGGAACCTTTACTGGGACAATACAGTTCCCCTAGTGAAGACACATTCTGAAGAAGATGCTTATTTTTCTTAATGTCATAACGTGGCTAAATGAGAAAAAAAAAAGCAGAGATTATACATATACATGTATGTATACATAATCATACAGCCACACATCCATACAATTAGACAAGTGCTCACACAGCCATCCTGTACATGCCAAAGCCGCCTTTTACTTTTTTCCCCTCTTCTTCCTTCCCTGTTGCCCAAATGCCTTTTCTTCAGGGCAGGGGGAGAAAAAATGAAGAAAGAAAAGACTAATTGCAGCCTTCCACCAATGCAGTCACCATCTGGTAACTCAAGAGACACATGGAGCCAAATTATCTTAATTAACATGTTACAACAGTATTTAAAAAAACTCTATGCTTATTAACACTCAGCTGTGATTAGTCAACCATGGAGGAAGCCTGCTAATGCCACATTAATTATGGGTCTTGTCTTCCTTTCCATTATAAATATGATTATATTTTTCCAGTGGCTCCTCTCTCTCCTAAAAAGAGCACCATTGGCATCAAATCTTGATCTCAAATGCAAATTCTATTTACATTCTACTAGAGTCAAAATGTTTAGGCTATGTGAAGCTTCCACTGGTGCTCTGAGGCTGCTACAGACTTTCTCGATACAAAATAGAGCTTTCTATGTTTGCCCCTTGGACAGTTCTTCTTCATTTAGACAAATCCCCCAGTAAAATTCAAGCAAATAAAAAATTATTTTGTGTCTTTCAAATTCATTTTTCCCTCCAAAACATGGGACTTCACTGCATGCTAGACCAGATAAAATAGGACAAAATCCAGAGCTAAAGAAGAATCAGCTGGCAACAACTTGCAGCTGGGTTGCAGTTGGAGACAGCAGCACAGTGGCTCTGAGCAGTCAGTCTAACAAAGAAATCTGCTCTCCCAGTGGCACAATGGAGATTTCCAAGTGACATGCATTTCTTTTTTTCAAATTTTCCAAGGCCACTTCCGGCCTCCCTGTGCCTTCTTCCAGCCACCCTATAATTATTGCCACATGTTAGGAGAAGGAAATTAAGGAAGTGCTGTAACAACCTTATACGATCCGCAGAATCCACAGTTTTGATCTTGAAACCTCAACCCTCACAATTGCATGAGAAACACTCAGCTAGGTTCTATTTCCTTTCCTCTCTTTCTTGATTGAGGGGGAGCCCCTAAGAAAGCTACCTAGGCTTTAGACTGAAGCTCTAAGAAATTTCACTAAGAAATGTGAGGAGCACAAAAGTGTTCATCACACTGGGCAAGGGCAGTTAACTTGCCAGGTGTCTCCTTTCCTCTCATTGGCAGCTCACTCAATTCTAAATCTTGTTTTACATTGCAAAAAGAAAAACATTTAAAAAAGATAACAGAATTGTCAAAATAATTTGGTATCCTTTCAAAAAGGGAACAGGCAGCAATGGCACCTATTGTGCAGAGGCGATTTAGTAGAAAAGGCATTAGCATGGTACTTGAAGCCATGTAACATTCACTGTCCTCGACTACTGTGACTAATTTTAAACTCCAACTTAGATCTTCCCACAGCCTTGCTTTCTCACTTTGACCCTGCTTATTTCCTTCCAGAAATGTACAAACCTAAAACTTGCTCATAATTCAGACATAATCTGCACATTTACCCTGCTGTTTCCTTGGCAGCTCCTATGGGAGTTTTCCATCTGGGTATAGCAATGGCCCCTTCTTAGGATAAATGCCTGACAAACACTATGCTCTCTGGTGTCAGAAAAACCACCTGCAGAACCAATGAGAGACGATAACCTAGAAAAGAAAGTAACTGCCACGTGCTCATGCTGATTTTGAGGACTAGATTCTGAGACTGCAGAGACAACTGGTTTGTGCTGACCTGCCTTACTGATAAATAAATACCATTATTGATGCTTAGTGGGCAGTTCTTTGAAGGCAACACACCCTAACAACACAGCAAAGCAAAACTCATCTCAACCAGCACATGACAAGAGACCCGCAATTAAGCCTCAGGAGGCACCCCAGATGAAATACATCACATGGCTGGTAACACTAGCAGCTGTAGGACTACACTGCTCCCCTTTCAGCACCGGGTGAAATTCAGAAAGTCACTGCTAACCTACAGTACACAACACTGGGCTTCTCCTTACCCAGGCCTTCCTTCTAACCCCAATTCTGCCATAGCTCATTTTGTGACTTGGCACTGACTGAGGTAGTCCTTACCAGAGAGAAGGCAGAAACCCAGAATTTTAGAGTTTAGAGAGAAGCCCTGTCTTTCTATGCTTGCATGAGAAGATCCCTATGCTAGCCAAGTTGCTTTAAAGCTCTGTCCTGGTAGGCCTCCTTCGTTCACTAATCAGCCTTTTGCAGCAGATTCATTTTTCATCCTTTCAGCAGCAGCAGCTGTTGCCTCTGACTCAGCCTATCCAAAAAGTACTAATATGGAATTTTGGCCAAGGCAGATCTAGTAATGGCATGCACACAGAAGACTGCTTTGTGCTGTGTTGTTCTACTTTAATCTGTGTGGAAACCTAACAGGAAAGCCCAAAGCCTTAGGTGGCTGAAATTGCTCAAGTTGCTCTCTGCATTAGGTCTAGCTTTGCTATGGTGTGGTGGGTAAGGAGAGCAATCGTGAAACTTCAAGGTTGTTTTGTTTTTGTTTTTTAAACATCAAGGAACACTGGAGAATACTTTGTGATTCTGCCAAGCCATTTTTCTTCTGACTTTTGGATCTGTTCAGGACCTTTGAACAAATCAGAATCTAATATCTGGGCAGATTTGTTTATCCTCTAGGAATGACTCATCTCTGCCAAGGGACTTGTCAGAACAGGCACTCAAAATTTACCATTGGCTGGGTAGAACTGTAAAGAGTTATTAGTCCTGTCTCACTGGAAAGCCTCTCAAGCACACTTCATATTTTCACCCTAGATGTGGTTAGCTTAGTTGTAAATATTAGGTCATGTTTTCTACAGGCTTTACAGGAGCTCAATATCGCAAGCAAGTTCTCTGCACAGTCTGGCAGGAAAGCAAAGATAGCCCCACAGGGACATTCCCCAGGTCATTCCATTCAAAGCTGGAGGCACCTCAGAATACAGAGTGACTGAAGTACTATACGTGGCAAACCTAGCTTTCCCAAAGATGAGTGTCCTATAGCCTCCCAGCTACACTACAAGTTGAACCATTCTCATCTTGATTTTCTTACGCTTAGCTGAATCTCAAACTGGACTAGACTATAATTCAAAAAGCTCCAAGAATGAAATTGAAGAACAAAGCTTCAAAATACAGGAAGAATTTTCTTCTAGACAAGAGTTATGTACGACGCACCTTTCTAAATTGCCCAACATTTTAACAATGTTGGACGACCTAAGTACTCACACGATGGCAGCAGGAAAGGTGGTGTCAGGCCCCGTATAACCTGCTCCGAAACTCAGCAGCTACCTAGTACCTGGGCTACTCTATATAGCAGCAATGCAAGTAACCGGAGAATATTTGAAAAGAAGGAAGATAACTCAGTGAAGCTATTGGTAAGTTACATGACCTAAGTTTGAACAGCTAAAGGCATCAAGGTCTGATGGGATGCTGCCGGTGCTTTGATTTACAAGTCACAGAATGATGGTGGCCATCAATTCTTGCAGAGCATGCTAAGTCCCACACATTCCACACACTCAGATTCCGCTTGGGGTCAAACGGCATATCATTAAGTAAACAGCAACTTAGTATAACACTTACAAACAGAGCATATAGAAGAACTCATGTTTCCAGTTCTCCCCCTTGAGAAGATTATTTCATTATACAGACATAATAGCTTCACAGTGTTTGGTTTATAGTTCCATTTTCCCAGTACCTACCAACAGCTCCAAGCAAATCCAAGGATATGAATTTGTAAATTGCCTAACAACATGTATAGGAAACTGTCAAAAATATACCTCGTAGCAAACACAAAGTCTTCCTTTCTGTTTTTTTGGCTCCTCATTCAAAACCCCTACATGGTAAACAAAACTAAACTGAAACAAACCAGGCTTGGAAAAAAGGTTCGAAAACCAAGGTCCTTTCATAGCTGGCAACAAGTGTTCGGAAAAAGTGTGTAAGAAGAATTCTCACCCTCTGAGATACTACTGTCCTCTGACACTTCCACTGTAGCCACTGGAACTGAAGTACAGGCCAGTCAAAATACCCAGCTGAAAAAGCAGATAATAAGGCTAGAGTAGGTCCTGCTCAGGGAGAATCTATTTGTAGCTCCACATAAATTCAAGAAGAGATGAAAAACCATTCCTTTCATTTGACTAAAAGAGATGATAAAATACATAAACAAAATCCCATAGTATAACTATTTTTAAAATAAAATACTCATTAGAAGGGCATAGAGCCCACCACCCCCTTCCCCCACCCCAAACTCTGCTATACCTCAGACCTGCCCCTGGACAGGTCTGCTTGACATCTTGCTGCTTTTGAATGAGAAATACAAGGCTATAGATATTCTTTGCCCCTTATCTATATTCCTCAATCACAGAGTGCAGTTTAGCGGATGGAACTAAAGCCAAGGCATAGGGGCACGGGCCTAGACACAAACTGCACTGCTACATAACTTGAAGTTTTTGCCTCCTTGCCTTGGCTTTTCTTTTCACAGAGCTTTCCTGTTTGCCTTTGAGAATATAGAAGTTCCAGTAGTCTACAGAGTCCTGTGTAATGACTTAAGGGTTCTGGTCAATGAAATTAATTACACTGGTGACAAAGATTTACAGATTAATTTGGCTGTTGTAATAGTTGGGTCTTTTTTCTTATGAAGAAAGTCAAGCCAGGAGCGGAATTTCACAGTTCAGTAGTTCTTTCACACAGGTCTCTCCGGCCAGGAATTTACTTCAGGCTTTACTGCAATAAAGGAAACCAACACATGGCTAGGGACACATATGCTGCATTACTGTCTTGCAGCGTTACCGTCTGGTTTTAACTCAACAACATTCCCTTTTCTATTAGCTGGAGGGTTTTGTTGGTTGGTTGGTTTGTTTTACTGCTTCTTGGAGGGGATTGGAGTTTTGGTTTTATGTGCATTTTGATGTTGTTTGTGACATTTCATTAAGTTTAGTTTATTATTTTGAGACACTTGTTTGCTCAGCTCTCTCTAACGGCTTCTTTCATCTACGCATTATCTATACAGCACCATCCATCATGTCAGAGCAGTTACTAGAACAGCAGGAGCATTTCTCAGTACAACATATAGTTAACAAGATAACAGTGTTGATAATAATAACAATGTTTGATTGAGCTTTTGCTGCATAAAGTAGCCAGATTCACACCTTGAGGTAAGCATTTCACTTGGATCACTCTTTACTTGGACACTAAGTCTAAATCACCACTTCAAGGGACTAGACCTTGGGGTCGAGGACTTGCCTTATTGACATGGTTCTTCCTGGCAACTCAGCTGATTTGCAAACACTGTTATAAAATCTCGTTTCTTTGAACACCCTTGTTCCTTGCTGTCCTACACACTTTCCAGCCAGCGCTGGCATCGAGCTGCAGACATTTCAAGTCTCTCTTGAGCTTCTCACAGACTCACCATACTGCCATTTTTCTTCATAGCCATCTTCCATACTCCAGAAACTTCCTGCTAAGCTCCCTCGCACCAGACAACAGTTTCTCCAGTTTCAACTGCCCACCTCCATAAAAAGAGATGGTGTGGTTACGTGGGTTTTTGGCACGCTTTTGTTGCTGTTGCAACTTTTCTTTTTTTTCCAAAGACAGTTTTTGTATCCTCCAGTTTCAATGATGTTTAGGCTAAAATATTAGTGGATACTAATACATGGACTACATTACTACTTACTGCATTTTCTCCAAGCTGTCAATCCAATCAGGACAACATTTTAAATTTGGTTCCAGTAGGTGTAGAACCACCTTACCTCTGCTGGGAGAGCCAGACGACTTCTGAACAAAAGCCTAATTTTATGTTATAAAAATTTATTATAATAACTCACTTCTACAATATTTTGAGAACTAAAATGAAGTGGGAGGACAGATTATTCTAAAATACAATTATCAGAGTATAAAGAAAAACTTTGGTGATTTTTTTTTTTTTTTTTTTAAGCTCATAATTCCATAGAACATAAAAATCTTTTTCACTGCTCTGGTCAACAGAGAAAAGCTCATATCTATAGACACTGATCTAGCAGACAAAAGATTTCACAATCATCTTCTGACTCACTCTGAATGGGAAACATTAAGTAAGAACAATAAAGACAGCAGGACAAATTCAGTTAATTACATTTTTTTCCCCCAAACCACACAAGAACAAAGCAGTTTCAAGAAATTCCTTACATATAAAAAAAGCTTTTAAACTGCTCCCCAGAGAAGGATACAAGAGAGGAAACTGTTTCAGCATGCCTCAGTGCCACCAGAAGTTCTGCACTGAGCACAGATTGGGAAAAATCCATGAGCATTTCCAACCTCTGCAGAGCTGGGGCTGGACCTTGGAAGAATGCCGAAAACATCCCAGGGAGACCTCAGACAAATACAGCAGGACCCAGATCTGCCTCCCACAACAGCACATGATTCACATGGTAGGAAGCAGTATCCAAATCCCAGTTCTTCACTAGCATCAGAGCTCCCATCTTACACTCCCCCAGTCCTAAAAACAAATGAACAACAACAAAAAAAAGCAAACCACTCTGTTCCCCCCTAGCCTCCATTAGAATGTTCACACTAACAAATCACTTCCCACACTAGCTACTTGCAACATGCCCCCCTGCCATTCAGTTGTACTTCCTTGTCCCTTAAAGAACTATTCTCCATGAATTCTCTGCACCACAGCCTCCCTTCCCTATTTAAACAGATGATTTACAAGTTAATGTATTTTTTTTTCTTTCTCCCTGAAGCAGATGTTCAATTTCCTCCCTCTAGATTATAGTCTGGTGGAGTCTATAAACCAAGCTTTAGGACCAGGAAGCGTCTATTAGTAGACCAGTGACAGAAAATCCCAAGAAATAGTATATACAAGTGCTACACACAATCAGTGCCCCTATACCACTTGTAGGGGTGTAGTATCTCTATGACAAGCTGCACTATGCTGTCTCTTCAGCTGTTCTAGAGGTCTTAGTCTACCAGAAGGTTTGGTGAAAACACCTACTGAACGCTTACAGGTTTCTCAGCAGTGGAACAAGAGCTTCTCATGCAGCTTTGAATCCACTTAACTGTATGGTTCAACCTCTTGCCACTCTGTGAAGTTTCTCACAGAAAGGAAATGCAAGACTCAAATAAAAGACACTAAAAATAGCAGAAAATGCTGGTTCTCTGGAGACACACTCTTGGGAACACTCCTAGCTGCAATGTGCAGATTCCTTGAGAACATTTGCATAGGCGATACGGATATCTAACTTTTGAGATCTAGTGGGAAAAGCTGCAGGAAAGGAAGTTATTTTGATGCTGATAGATTAGTGTCCAGACAGTAAAACAGAACTACACAGGAAAAAAAAAATAAAAATAGTCAATTTATTGGATGTCATCAATCACCATTCTGTAACTCTTCTCTTTCATACCAACTCAGAATTTCAGAGAACAGTATATGCATTTAAACAGGAAGAATAAGTGTTCCAAAGATCACCATGTAAACAGGAACGAGAGACCTCCAAACCCAGACTTCATCACTTTGGTCAAATTTGCCATGAACACATGATGTCTTCAACACCCATACCTAGTAGGCCTACAGACCAACAGTAAATATAACTAAACTGTTCCGCTATTAAAAGGTAGACATTATTACACACTCTTCCTGGTTTTGTTCATCTGTTTCCTGTCTTCTCCATATTGGGATTTGAAGTCTTTTGGAGAGAGGGTTGGGAAATAGCAACAGATAACACATTAGTAAGACGAGAGGTGCTGCAGAGTCAAGACTAGCAGGTAGCATAGAGCTGCAAAGGCAAGAAGAGTATAGAAATTCTATTGCTCTTTCTTTCAGACCTCTGGCCATTTTCCTTTCTCCCAGTTTCCTCCACTTCAGCCAGCTATATTCTGACCATTAAAACAGAGAGCACAGGACAATACTATAAGGACACAGCTTACAATCAACAGAAGGCAGTTCAAGTTTGGGAAAGAAGGGAGGAATGTTACAGCATCGACTTTTCAACTGGATTTCCTCCTGTAATAATTTGTGTCTTTTACCAGGGTATCAATGAACTACTGAACAGCCAATCTAAACTCAGTTCCCTCTGTGCCCACTCCTCCCCAGCCACCGTTCACTGGTTAGAGTATTCAGCTGGAGTTAGACAACACATCCTCAGGCTAACATCACATTCCAGCTGTGCAAACATGAAAGAGCCTTTCAAAACCTCACAAGAGCATATTACATTAGAGACTAAGTACAAGAGGCCTTTTTCCAAAAGGATTTCAAAGGTACTGTTCCTAAAACACAAGTTCAAGACCTAGTGCTGCCAAGAAATGGACCCATTGACAAACCTTAAAATAGCTCTCAGCTCTTAAAATGATGCTGCAATCGTGTAAAAGACCATTTTGCAGTTGAACACGTTATAATGTGCCAATTTCTACCAGATGTAAAGGTGGTTTTTCAAGTAGAAGCAGGATTTAACGTCTGGAAAACCAGGGGAGTTAACACACATATGACATCCTCCAGAAGCAACTCAGTCTCAGCTATTACCATAGAGAGTAAGAAACCCCTGTCTAATCTCAGATAAACAAAGATTTCAAATCATAACTTCATCTCTTTTCTACAGAGCTCTACAGCATCTTACTATGGTCCCATTACCCGGGCCACGAGAGGTTAAGATAAAGAGGGGAACAGTTCCTGTTCTTCGACATAACTGATCTAGAAAGCAGAACGTGGTTTCATCAAATGAGCTCTTTCCTTTTCCTACCCTTTTCCCCAACACATCTCCTAGATGAAAACACTTCTTACTCTTCTCAGAAAGGCAGTCCACATTTAAGCTATTACCAGAATTGGCAGAAAAACAAATCCATCTGTTCCTCAAAAAACAAACCCATTGTTCTTCCCCACCCTCTTTTTCTTGCTATCAAGCCTGAGGATGTAGCATACAAAGGCCTCCCAAGCACTAAGAAAGGTCACCTAGATTATGACAGTGGACTTTTTATTTTCTCTCCACACAGAAAGGCAGAAATTCCTACCCTTAATGAGGCAGGTGGAAGCATCTGTCTCATGTTAAACACCATGATCTACTTTCGTATCTTTGCCCCCCCAGCATTAGAAAATAAAGCCATAAATGCAAATCACTGCAACCTAGTTACAGCACATCAAAGCTGTCACTGTCACTCTTATTCTCGGGGTGGAAGAGACAAACAGACAGTTGACATTTACTCTTTAGCTCACTGTGTAAACAGAAACCAAGTTGCAGTACCTACTCCTCTACTGCAGAAAAGCACTGACCACACACTTCCCTGCAAAAACTCTGCCAGGCCTGACGTCCATTCTGCAGCAACACCACAGGGAAGAGTGAGCTACCCAACTGCCATACTTCCTCTCAATACCTGTGGTTTTTGGAATTATCCTTCACTGTTCCTATTAAACTCTTCATCAACAACGAAAGTCGCCTGCAAGACACATCAGAATGGTGGGGAGTGGGTCATAACCGTACATCGTATTTCAGGGCACAAACCACAGTTACAGGAATTGCTTGCGTTGAAAAGCAAAAACACATTTAAAACTTTATGTTAACATAATTAAAGAAGTTTGAAAGTAAGAAGCTATTATCATGCGGCAGGCAGAACTATGGCATACTATTATTATGCATTCTGAAGACCACAGTTTGGAAACGTCTAATCTCAGTCTAGTATAGTTACTAGCAATGGATTTCTAGACCAGACCCTGCAAAAAGCTCCCAGAAACGCAGTTTTCCATAATGCACTGTTCTGAGGGGAGGCCATGTGAGCACAGCTGCAAAATTAGTACATATTAGGGAACTGGCACTCCACAGCAAAAAGGATTAAACAAATTTCATTAACAAGGTTTGTGGCAATGGGAACATAACCTGGAAATACTCTTGAGCAATCACAAGCTAGCATACTGAAATTCATGCCTAGAAGTAATACTAAGTGGCAAATACCTGCACAGACAATTATATTGCAGTCAAGGAGAATTCCAGAGCTGTAGCAGCCTACCGAGAGCGTGTTTTTATAGAATCACAGAATGACCAGGGTTAGAAGGGACCTCAAGGATCATGAATCTCCAACCCCCCTGCCACATACAGGGCCACCAACCTCCCCATTTAATACTAGGCCACAAGAATTTACAAGAGTTGCATCTAGGACATCAAGCATCTGCAATGGTTTCAGCCATGGAACATCCTCATTCAGCTAGCATCCAATGAGACTGATCAAAATATGTCACATTCCCTTCAAATCCCTTTCTGAGTTTCAGCAAAAAGGTGACCAGTAAGAAAAAAAAAAAAAAAAGGAAAAAAAATCAAGGAAATTGTCTTGCCATTACTGCATAAACTTTATAAACATAAATATGCTTTATACAGCATATTATATTTCAATAAATGATGCCCATTTAGGTGGAAATGCATGATGAGAACTGAAGCCAACTTTCTTCAAAGGTCACCTGATTAATAAGTACACTGAGGCAGCATTTGGAAGAAGGCACAAACCCAATCCCTAAACAACCCATTGTGGCAGCAGCCCATTATTTGAGTTGTTTCAAAAAGGCAGGATAAAGCCATCCTTCCTTCCCCCTCCTACTCCTTTCCCTCCCCCTCCCCACCCCTCCATTTTTCCCTAGTGGGCATCTACTCCCAGACAATGGTAATCATCTCTATCAGAAGTTGACTAGCAATGTAAGAGAGCTTCATGTCTCCACTCTCCCCAGTTCCATGATGAGAACACACACTATCAGAACTGCTTGAGCCATGAATACGAATAGCTGCAATTCTAGCAGAAAAAAAAGATGCTTCTGTCATCCCAGTTCATCCAGTAGCTGGTTAAGCTATTCTCTTCAGTACCAGGCATGTATTTGATTGGCATCTTCTGAACTGGCAGTCTTAACAAGGAGGTCTTTCAGAATTCAAAGCATGCTAGCTGCATGACAGAAAGGAAGTATAACCCCTCAAGGGCACCCATTTCAAGTGGAATGTGAAGTGTCCCAGGTCTAGACAGCATTCTGAGAAACTTTTCTTTCTCATCTTGCTACTCATTACAATACAGCACTTCCACAATTTCAGTGCAGATGTAAACTTTTCTACAACTCCAATGCGTTTGGCAAATTGACATTTCAAACACTCTGAACTGTTACACCTCCATCAATTTTTCCAAGGATTTCCCTTCCAGTCAGTACAGTTGGTAAGAATAATTTAAGAGAAAAACCAGTCCCATGCTTTCACCAAACTGAATTCCATTTGATTTTATCTTCACACCTCTGGCTGCTTCATATTATTCAGTCTTTACAGGAATTATATATATAAGACGTTTTCAGTATTGTTTTGCCTGTAAATTTAAGCAGAAAGATACCAACTCCCTCCTTCAGATTGTTAGGTAACACTGGGCAAAACTTTCAGCAGTGCTTCTATGCCCTGAGATCTCCTCTCCCAGCTGACTTCCAAAGACCTTGTCTCACTGCTAATATTCATTTGATTATGAATGACATCGTAGCCATCCCACCAGCTAGCTTCCCTAATTTAAAGGAGATGCATTGCTGTTTTTCTCTTTTTTTTTAAACTTAGCTGCCATATCAATTTATTACAAAGAGTTTCAATTGATAAACAAGTACAAAATGTAGTGGAAACTAAACTAACCTATCAAGAAGGAATTTCTGATGCAGTTTTAGTGTGCAAAGATTTTTGTTCTGCCATTCTGCTCCATTCCTTTTTCCCCCAGTTCATGAACTCTTACTGCTGGTGACAATGAATCATATTAGTCTGTTTAGCCATTTTCTCTCCATATTCCTGTTTTATGCTGACAGGAACAGGAAAGTACAACTTTGTTATAAGGTTTTATTTGAAAGTCAGTCTCTCAGTTGGTTCACTGCATTTAGAATTGCATCTTCTTATCCTGGGTTCTCTCCTCCTGGTACACTGGAAGCATAGCAATTCAGTTCT